TTCAGTGGGTTCTTCTTTCCTCCATGCAGTATGGTTTTCAAATGGACAGTTCTTTACCATCACAATATACATTATTAACATAGACCAAAACAGTAAATGTTCCCATTGATTAGGTCCTTCCACCCTTAAAAGAGATCAGAATAAGTACTGCTGTGTTACCCAAAGAAGCTTAAATGTTTAATTAGCTACATTGTGTATCATTCTTATACTTTCAAATCAATTGATCATTTTATGATGCTACTTGATTGAAGTCAGTGAATCCTACATAGGTTATGCCCTAGTGCTTCCAAACTCTCCGACGAACGAAGTGGAAATATGGCATCCGATCAATCCAAAAGATGTCTGTCAAGCAACTAAAATACAGATGGAACTTGCAATATCAAATTTACAGAATGAGTGTATATGTGCATGTACATTAATGAAATTCCCTCCTGAACCGGACGTTGACATATGGGCATCACAAGACAAAACACAAGCTTACCCCTTGGTTATCCTGGCGGTACTTTTTAAAGCACGCCATGCAGTCAGGGCAGCAAAAGGAATGACACTTGCTTCCTGCAAGATCACAGACATAGTCAATATTCTCTACTCACAGATTATCTTTCAAAAAAGACTTAAATAGCAGGAAGAACATCTCAGTTATGCAATCAATTATATGGACCTCAGGAAATATACAGAGAACGCGAGCAGCTTTCAATACATATCACGGGAAAAACAAAATATGAATGTTCTACATGATAAAATAATGTCCACTCTCAATACCGATTATTTTTAGATAAAACACATTTTGTGTGTTTGCTGAGGAGACCAATCAAGCATTTTATAAAAGGGAAGGGAACTTCTCATCGGAGGAGACAGGAGGAATGTAAATAATTCACTAGAAAACATACTTATAATAGAAGGCTACCATGAGAAAACTAAAAATAATGTATCTGCCAATAGCAAACACTCTTAAGACTAACCACGTGTGTAATTGATGCTGGTTTCAGAGCAAGTTCATCTTCAGCGAGAATAGCATAGTCAGAATAGGTACCCCTTACAGCAGTTGGATGCAGTGCACCAAACACTTCCTGCCCAATACTGAGTGACCGGACAGAGTTTCCAATGGCTGCGACTTCACCACTAACATCACGGCCCAAAATAAGGGGCAAAAGTGATTCAAATAAGGATCGACCATAGCCTGATCGCATCTGAAACATATTAAAAATTGAGATGCTGAATAAGTTCTGATTCAGATGCATGAATTTAAAGTCAATATGAAGTATGCACAAAAAAATATAAAATCTTATTATGAGAAATTAACACAAGTTTCTATGGAGGCTACACAACATTCTTTTACTTTGAGGTTCTGCTTAGTAGACACCATTTTCATGATGATTTTCCCCACCACCCCAATGAATAAACTTTCAGTACAATAGCAACTTATCTAACCGTCATCATTCACTCTGTTGAAAAGGCTTAACACTTGACTTCCAGTTATAATCTAAGGTTTTATAAAAAGGCCTATCCAACCTAAAGGAGGTGAATCAAGTAAATTCAGTTTGTCCTAAGAATCCAACATTTCAGTTACAGAAGCACCTTTATCCAACTTATATCATAGTCTAGTGACTTCCCATTAACTCAAAATAAAACCTTTACTTTAGAAACACATTACTGCTATCAACTTCATACTTTTACATCACATACGCCACAGTCACTTCAGTTGCAGAAACACACAAACGTTCTTCATGTGTTCAGTTCTTGAAATGAATTTGGTCCCCCTCTACATGGGCAAGTCGATTATATCCAAATTTCAAGTCAAACTAGCTGCATGAGTGAATTAAGGTGAAACGATATAGCATATATGAATTTCAACATATTCATATAAGATTGCAAACCTCATGCTTGGTCATAAAGAAAATTTATTTTCTGATTTTAAAAAGAAAAAAGGAAACTAAATTCTGGAAGATGAGTTACTTTTTGACAAGGGAAGCAAAATAACAAAACTCACACCCAGCGGCGTCTCAGTTAGCTGCGGTGCCTGGTCGAGATGTGCAATCTATCCCGTAATTAAGCAAGAACTTCACTTTGTCTCTCAACTGTTTTGGTATGGGAGAAGTTACGGTTTGGTTTAACATTAAGCTGCCACTCAGACGCAAAACTAATGAGAGGCAACTCTAAAGGGAAAAAAAAAGCGTAATTATTGAATTTCCTTGATTTATTTAGCTTGCCCAATTATATTCGTTCAGTCCTATAAGTTATTCTTGAGCTTTCCCTATGTAACAAGCAAAAGTGGAGAACAAAAGCAAAAACATGCATTAAGAAACAAGTTACACCAGCAGATTCCTTCATTCGCATGATTAAAAAAAGCAAAAACAAAATAATCCTAATCAATTGAGAAAGCCTGAAGAAAAAATAAATAAAAAGCAAATACCATGCGACGGTTCAGTTGAGGACATTTAGTTGAGTTCTTCAATCGTAATGAGACATTTACTCTAATTTTCCCATGCTCAGCCATTAAACAAAGAAAGAAATGTACTAAACCAACATTAAAAACAGAATTAGAAATTTCCCGCTTAGATTAGTTCAGTATGCTGAGCCGAGTTCTTCAGTTTCTCATAACTACTCTAGCAGTTTTCTCCTACACTTTTGCTCAGCAAACAAATAACTCAAAATCGAAACAAAACCGATAATTACAGAATAGCCAAAGAACTCACTCTGCAATCAAGCGGATTAATGGAGACGGCACGAGCGCGAACAAGCACCTCATTAGGCTTGAGATCAGGAACATTGACATTGTCCCTGAGCTGAAGGACCTCGGGCCCACCGAATCGCGGCAAAAGCACGGCTCTGCAACTGGTAACAATACACCTAAACCCTAACTTCCTAGATGACGAACAACAAGGCAACGACTCAGAATCAACAGCGAACAATTTCAAACCATTCAATCTCAATAAAAACCGCATCGTCTGTGCTGGCAAAAGGGTATAAAATCAGAAATTTCCAAGTCTTCGAAATCAGATGCTTCAATGCATAACAAGAATTAGATTCCAAGAAGAAATTGCGAGCATTTGTCTAATGCAATAGTAACATGTGTGTGTGTGTGTGTATGTGAGAGAAAGAGAGAGAGTGAACGTGTATGTGCGACTATCCGCACAAGTAGAGAGTCGTGGAGGCCTCTGAAGCCTAAATCATTAACAGCTTCGGTGAAAGAATGCTTCTCTCTGCATTTGTGCTTGGGCTTTTCAGGCCTGTGGAGAAAATATTTACATTATTCAATGTTAACGCTGTCACCTCATCACCATTGTTAGATAGTGTTATCATTTTTATATAAGAAAAAATAAATTTTACAAAATTTAATGGGTGAAGTTATTTTCAATTAAAAATATTCATTCTTATCTCATTTAATATCTTATTATCAAATTATTAAATCAACTTTTTATATACCCATCTTATAAATACCCCTTTAATAAGTAATTAAAAAAAATAAGAAAGAGAAATTTATCAAAATCTAAAACAAAATCAAGAAAAAATATATCGACAAAAAAATAAAAAATGAAACAAGATTTCTAATTTATAAAGTCTAATTCACAAATGACACAAGCTTGCCAAAAATGAAATAAATTTTCTATTATAAATAGCATTTATTATCACTTTTTTAAAACAATTTGAATGTAAGTATATATATACACACACACAAACCATAAATTAAATTATTAAACTTGATAGAGTTACCAAAATATAATAACAATAATGGAAATCCACACAACACGTATAAAATCAAATACAGAATTGAATCAAGAAGTAATATATATATAATAAAGTAATTTACAATTCAAATTTCAAAAGATAAACAAAATAATTTTTATTTTTTGCGGTTGAAATCGCTTTAAATTTTACTTTAAAATTAATCTAATGGCTAATATTAACATCTTAAATTTAATAGAAAAAATAGGCCCTTAAGGGCGTGTTTGGAGTAACTTTTTAAAAATACTTTTAAAAATTATTTCTCATAAGTATTTTAAAAAAAATAGTGTTTGAAACCGTCACATCACCACAATCACCGTCGCCGCCGCAACGGCCGTTGCCGTCACCACTGCCACCCACCACTTCTCACCCCCACTACGACCGATGTTTAAATTCATTTATCTCTCCTCTATGTTTGTAATTTAATTTTGGATATGAATACAAACATGTTTATTGTTTATCATTTTTTATTACTCTGTGCCTTTATGGACAGGCAATAACTAGTTAACTTATATCTTATTAGATAAATCTATATTAAAAAAGTATTTTCGTGAGTGTATGACATTGAGTAATGAATAAAATCCTAATTAAAAATGTGTATATAGCATGTAATAGGCTTAGTTATTAATGAGGTGAATATAGAATAACTAACTTAGTAGTTTAAAAATAAAAAATTAAATAGAGTGATAATAAATATTTATGTAGTGAGAATAACCCCACACAATTTTAATAATCAACCTTCTATGTCATTCGATAGTCCCCTAGTATCACCGTTGACGTTGCATGAAATATTACTCCGTGTTGTGACCGTGCACAATGAGGGCTCAATATAAAAATTTTAATATTTGAGGATACAAAATAAAAATTCGAGGTACAAAAGTGTACTTTACCCTTAATCCAAATCTTCCTTGTCGACTCGAGTTATATACTGCAAAGAAAACACAGAAATAATCCCGACTGTTTTCCCATTGCAGAACTTAGATTAACGATTTTTCCATTTCTAAATTTTCCACCCGTAAAATGGAGAATAAGACCAGACTCTACCGACCAGAGAATTTCATTCATCTGATAAAGGAAAAGGAGAAAAATCTTATAATTACAGCTGACATACAGTTCATAAGGAGCATCTCTAAGATCTCAAGACTACCCCAATCATCCTTGGGGCACATTTTCACCAGAGCCACCAGCACTGATGGTTGCAGTAATTCCACTCATCGAAGCAATGTTATCCCGCGAGGCATTTGAATTTTCAACATTACTGGCAGTGCCACTCATCACGGCAATGTTATCGGGCGTATTTGTAGCAGTGCCACTTGTCGCAGGCATAATATCCGGTGCAACATTTGAATTACCTACATTACTTGTAATGTCACCGGTAATAGTATTTGTAGCAGTGGCACTCGTCGCAGGCATAATACCCTGTGCAACATTTGAATTTCCTACACTACTGGTAATGTCACCGGTAATGGTATTTGTAGCAGTGCCACTCGTCGCAGGCGCAATATCCAGTGCATCATTTGAATTTCCTCCATTAGTAGCACCGATGGTGTCGGTGATTTTTGGTTGCAGAACTTTAGTTTCAGTGGCTGCAGGCACATTAGTATGAGCCGCAGGGGGCACCACAACTGCAGCGTCTGCAGATTCCTCTACTTTATGATGCTTTTGCGCTGCTTCAGCTGGAGGATAGACCCTCAAAGTGCTGCCTGTATGGGTGGCACCAGTTTTCAGTTGGTTCATGGTGCCAGACTCCTTTACAGCATGAAGTTGCTGCAACCGGTAATCAGTTTCTGGTCGACGGCAAACTTTTCTCAGTGGCACAATTTCCTGCGAAAATATTAAGAGATAAATCAACATTATCCAACATGAAGTGCATCCGTCAAACCACAAGCAATTTGAATGGTGCGCATGGTTTAAGATAGACACGAATGTGATAATGCCCTTCAATGCAGTTTTATCATATTTGATTGAAAGTGGAAACCAGTTATATTGTCTTAGCTTGAGAAACTATGCTATTAGAACTTCTAAATGTTTATTTAAAAAAAAAACAGAGCCTCCAAAATATTGAGACAGAAGACATCTAGATTTAAAACTGACATAACTAATGCAATCCTATGATAATGTATGACACTTTGTGCACTAAACATCCTCGAGGCATTCACAATTTCTATTTAAGTAACTCTGTGACACGAAACTTCTATCCTGTTTAACTCGTCAAAAGGGATGCTTTGTCAGCCTGCATGAAAGCAGCTAAACAATCCACCCGAAGCCAAAGCGGCCTATTTAGCGCAGCTAAGCTAATATGCGCCAGAGAAAGCCAGGTTGGGGGGCAGTACAGAAGATTGGTCCGCTCTGCAAAGCCAGGTTGGGGGGCAGTACAGAAGATTGGTCCGCTCTGCAAAGCTGAGCTTTTCGGTTCACCTACCAAAAAAATAAAGGAAAAAGAAAGGGGAGCTGCAACATCTTTGAACAAATCATCTCAACCAAAATTATGTCTTGTTATAAGCTTATCAAGAAGATCTTATCTAGAAGATAATAGTCCTAAACATAATTATCAGGTTGAAATTTTCCTGAAATCATCTACCAATCTAAAGATAACCATGTGTCACTGCAGTCATTCATGTGTGAAGCCACAATCAGACGAATCTTTTCTCTGGAAAATGATCTCCTATGAGGCAAATGGTGTCAATATTGATCTATTTGTCTCCACAAGAAATTTGACAGCGTTGTACTATATTCCCAATTTTCATTTCTCCTGTTATGATTTATTGGCAAGCAACCAAAGTATAAAAGCATGCAAAATCTAAAAGGTGTAGTCCCAAAAAAAAAAAAAGAAAAAAAGAAAAGAAAATGCCCCTGTAAAAATTTTACCCCTTATATCAGTAAGAATATACCCTATCCAAAATACACTAGCATATAAAAGACACTAACCAATTACCCACGAAAAACAACAAAATAGTTTTATAAGAAAAAATTACAAAAGAAATGAAGATCTAGGCAGTAGTATATACCTCAGACTGATCATGATCGTAACGCACCAGAAACCTACAACGGCAACCTCTTACATCATGCCTTCTTCTTTGTGCGTCGAGGACATGGGCATCAAAATAAAGAGCCTGCTCTTTGCCTTCCTGAAAATATTTTAAGATGTGATTATTGAAGATCTAACCAAAGCTTACATTCATTTTTTTCTCCTTTTTTTTTCTCGAATTGATAACATACAAAATTTCTGTGAATCATAAAGAGAAACTTGCACCTGAAAACAGAGTATAAGATCTCCTGGGAGAACCGCAACACATTCTGATGATTCACATGGCAGAGAGCGTTGCCTGACATGCTTGCGAACGTTGACCCATTCATCCTCCTCAGATCCAAAACCAGCAAACCGAACCAGAACTTCCTGAAAAGATCAGTAGCTTTTTATATATAACATGGAAAATAAGACATGAAGTATGTCAATACCATTTGGACCCAAAGAAACAAGACTAAACCATAAAGGCACCAGGGTTTCTAAGTTCCAGCATATCCCCCAATGACAATTTAGCATAGCTTCGTGGCAGAATGCAGATATGGTCCAAGATAGTGTAATTAGCAGATGGTGTGAGCATAATTTATAGCATTACAAGGGAAATGAGAAACAGATATACAAGTGGGTACCCTAAGTTCCCAACTAAAGAGGTTTTTGGTCCATCCATTAGATGTTTTAACCACAGATAATGTGTGGTACCCACATGATAGTTCAATGCAAGGGTCTAGTGCAAGAATGCATTTGAATGATGAGCAAAACAGCATGTTAACAACATTTCTAAAAGGATTTGAACAATTCGTTTTACGAAGTTAAATCAACATGAGAAGGGTATATTAGCTTACCGGATCACCTGTCTCAAGATATCTATGAGACAGGAACAATGCAACATCGTACCTGAGAAAGGGAATAACAACGAATGACTATCACTCATCCACTTGTAAATTGACTGAAGGAAATAGACAAACATCAAATAAATTAGCATCCAATAGTCATTAACTGAATGCCTTGAAATACTAACCATGCACCATCCCTTGCAGATTTTGCCTCAAACTCCATCTGAGAATTTTCAGGAACATTGCTGCCTCCACTTTTAGCTGGTATATCATAACGGAACAATTAATCGAAGAATGATAATAAATGCATATGATCAAACATAACCAGCAAATGATTTAGAAAGAGCGGGGAAGAGAAAAAGAAACCCTGGTTTGAAGGTGAAATTAAGACTGGTAAAGTTGTAAAATTTGAACAGAAAAAAGCTCTGGGTAGAGACTGCTACAATTTATGAGTGAGATAGAACATAGTTTCTAAATTTAAGGTATAGCAATAATTCTAAAATTTCTTACAAGTGGTGACATGAGACTACTAAGAGAACCTAGTTATGAGTAAAAAAATGCTCTGTTCAAGCTTTTGGATGGCTACAATAGTTACAAGCTTAGCTAGCGCAACGCCTATAGTAGCCTACTCATATTTAGGGTTTCAAGCAATCATAGAACCCCAGATAGTTATCCGGCAGCTTAGACATGCTAGTTTAGGCATCCCAATAAAAATGGATTCTCCTATCGTTTTTATCAAAAATAGAGTTGACTTGTAGCAGCATTAGTAGTGGTACACATATGATTGAAAATAAAGCTAGACAAATATTGGTAAGTAGTAACCACCACATAAATGTGCCAAAAAATCAAATGCGCAAGTGGTTTTGATTTTTGAAAATTAAGAACATAATTTAAAGTTAATTCTACCTGAAGGAGCAGCCAGAGGTTGAGGGGTCTGAGGCACACTTCTCACAGTCGCTGAAACAATTTACGATGCCAATTAGATCAAAAATAACTCTTGACAGTTATTGGTGGCCACAAAATAACCATTCTCAAAGTTAAGTACTGGGAAAATAGTGTTAGAACTTTAAAAATTAACACAAGCAAATTCTACCTGAAGCAGCAGGTACGAGTTGAGGGGCCTGAGGCATAGGTGATACACTCAACTTCCCAGAAGACTTAGTTGCTTTTGCCCTAAGAGCATACCGCCTATTCTGGAACCAATTCCACACCTGAAACACCATATATAAATTAGGGGGGGAAAAGCTACTGATAGGTCATCATAATGCACTAATCAAAAGGTGACTCACTTGTTTCATTTGAACAGTAATTTTTCCAGACCGCTCAGCTGAAACACTACACCCAGAAACAACCACATCACAATTTGACCTCTGATGCTGACAAGATGAACAAAAGGTTCGCATCACATAAATTTTGCAGATACAAAGATTAAATACATACCTGAATTTCTCAGCCAAACCATCAAGAATTTCGCGAGCTGGCATCGCCAGATTGTGCGCTTGTAGGATGGAGTCCATCTCCGCGACCTTCAAAAGAAGTTGAGCTTTATGAAGTCAATCTTTTAAACTTCTGTTTTGCATCAATGTTGCTCAGCAGGGGTCTCCTCCATTATTAATTCATTTTATTGTCACTACAAAGCTTGGTTTTATATAATTTTACAGGAGATAGATGTAGGATCAAATGTTCTTTAACATTACCCCAAACATAATAAAGAAACTTCCCAATCCAAAAAACATATATAAAAACACATATAGAAATGTTGTGTTCTTCATTCATACTCCATAGTTCATACCCACTGGCCACAATATCCAAAAACCATTTCTACATTACTATTGCAAAAGAGTGCAAAAGAAATGAACCAACTCGCCTAAGACTTTGAAAAAAAACAAAAAACATAAGACTACCCACTTTGCTTCAAGCGCTTCCACCCATCTCCTTCAAGATTTCTGCCAGCTGGTCAAGCAGACCTCCACTCCCTCCATTGCCAGCAGAAGAACCGTTACCGTCATCGCCATTGCCGTTGCCCTCTCCTCCATGTCTCTTGCCATCTCCCCCGTTACTCTTGCCCTCACCTTCATTACCATTCTCGTCCTTCCCGTTCTTACCTGTCGGTTTGGTCTTCAACCCCAAGCCGCAGAAACGGACGTGTAGTTCCTTTACCATCGCGTGGGTCTCACGAGTAAGGGCAGATGATTCATCTGTCCAGAGTATTTTGTCAACGATTTTCTTTTTTGTTTTTGAAGCTCCCGTGGTCGGAAGGGCGTGGGTGGCTCCAATGGGTACTGCAGCGGTTTCTGCAGTAGAAGGAGCCAATGCCAACTGGGACAGAAATGCCGCTATATCGGCATTTCTCAACAAGTTAGGTAGGTCTGCTTTTAGGTCACGGAGGTCGTTTGGGTGGATAAAAATTGACATCTCACCTTCAGTATAGGAGGATACTGAAGGTGGTGGGGGTTTAATCTTGACCTTCAGGCGGCCAGCGGCGCGCAACAACAAGACTTGAAGAACGCCGCGGCTGGCAATAGTCATTCTCTCGGTTTTTCACTGTGTGTATGTTAGTGTGAGTGACTCAGTGAGAGTGGAGAAGGCCGTTATTTATAGAACGATGGGTGGGCCATTTGTTCGAAAATTAAAAAGTGAATGTGATGCCTCCTTCCAGTCCAGAATGGTAGCCCATCCATTTGCTTGATTTATTGAAACAGGATTTTTGGGCTCTTCTGTAAATTTGGGCTGCAGAATTTTTTATTCTAATTTTACAAAAAGGTCGAAATTTTTTTTGGGTTAAACCTTATTCAGTCTCCTGACCCAAAAAAAAAACCTTATTCAGTCTCTATTGTCCAAAATACCTTAAGCAGTTATATCTAATTAGAACAAATTTGAAAACTAAACATTTCTAAATTTTAGAGTTTTCCTTTGACCGGTTTTTCTAGATATCCTACTTGACCCAAGTGGAGGATCCTATGATATTCGAGCACTGCTATCCAAACAGCGAGCTCCCCTCCACAATCCAAAACAAAGTTACTGATTCATCCATCAATGCTCAAAATCGATATTTTTTATCCTTTTTTTTTTTTTTGGTCTTCCTCAATTTTATATTTTAAGAAATTTTAAAAAATTAACAAAAGATATGATATGATATCACCATTACACAAAATATAAAGTTGGATGAAATGAAATATTATGAGAAACTATAAATATAGTGGAAAGTTAGATAAAACTTCTAGGAGGTGAACAGTGGTTTTATAAGAAGTTTGAGAACATGGAATAGTGAAAACAGTGTTATAGTTTTTTTTTCCTGGTAAATAAACTGAATTTAATCCATAGTAACATAATAATCTAATACAATCAGAGGGGAAACAAGTGGTGGGTCATAAAACATATTTTTTTAATTTACATAAATAGAAAATTTATAAATTGAGAAAATGGGGAGAGAAACCATTCCAACCCCCTTTAAAAAGAATTTTTTTTTTTTTTACAGGGTGTTCAGACTTGCACCAACTACTCCTTTGAGTTTAGCGACTAGCTACCGTGACTTAAACTGGTCTAGAGCGTGTTTCTAAAGAGATAAAAATGACTAACCTTTAAGGGATATACGAAAGGATTGAACCTAAAACTTCTAAATTATTAGACGATAGACACAGTTACAGAATCACCCACTAATGTTATTGGGACATAATTTAGGGACATAATGAGTTGTCACCAATGAAATGATAATGAAATGTATTTAATGATAGGTCACATTGTAGCATTAAATGAATTCATTATCATATCATTGGTGACAATTCATTATGTCACCAAATTATGTCCCAATAACATTGCTCTTTATAATAATATAGACATTGCCCCATTCAAGCAGCCTGAATTTATTGGGCCAATTGTAGTGTTAAAATTCATTTAAGAAGTAATAAGGTCAAAATACTTTTCTACCTTGTGCTGACCCATAACAATTTAATGACCCATACTTCTCTAGCAATCGAAACATGAGAAATTAATTGCTTATAATAGATGTAATTCCAAAATTTATGGAGGAAATAACATCAACAAACACAGGCACTGATGGTTAATCAATCGGTGTTCTACAGAGAAAAGGAAAAGAAAAAATTAATTCACAAAGATAAGATTGAGAAGAGGGGTGAAACCTCGGTAGAGTTAAAGCGGAAGGATGGGGCTCCGTTACTCGGTGGTCTCCCCATCGGCCACTGTCTTCTTCAACCAGTGTATTCGATCCACTCCAACTATCCGAGAAAAAACATTCAAATCTGCCCAAGCAAAGGGGAAGAGGAGAGAGAGAGGGTTGTAGGTGGGCTTGGGCCGCTTGGCTCTTGCTTCAAAACTAGGGCTGTATTGGTTGTCTCAAGTTAAATGGTTCGCAAATTGTACTAGGATTAGTATTGTGGTGGGACTCCCATATACTTACAAATTTTATATAATAGTAACATGTAATTTGATTCTGATCATACTTGAATTATAAATTCAATGTATTAAGTAAATGATATGATTGATCAACTTAATAAAAATCCAACTTATTTAGATTAATTTTATATTCAATATGTCGTGTCAATTTTACTGTTTAGACTGATTGATCATATTAAAAATTGTTAACTTTATTTACAAAAATCTCTAGAATATTTTTTTTTTTAACATTTTTTAGTCATGTTCAATCCAATGTAATCCCTAGACCAAGGTTATTATCAATTAATAAATGTGGGATGAGTTGCGCTTTGAATTTGGAGGGAATATCAATTATCCATTCTAATCTTTTGTTTTCTCTTTTTTATTTAACCTTATGCCATAACCTAAAATCCCGAACAAAGCACCCCGTCAGCCCACCCCTTGCCGCCGTTATCTCCACATAATCTCACCAACCAAAAACTCGTTTGATAACGTTTATAATTTTTATTTTTTAAAAAACTAAAAACAAAATTAAAAAACGAAAAACGTCTTTTTTTCGTTTTCAAAAATTACCCCTCGTTTACAAAACTATGACAAAAAAAAATGATTATCAAACGAATTTTTTTTTTGGTTTTCTCTAAATATCAAAATAAAAACAAAAAACGAAAAACATAAACGTTCCCAAACGGACCTAAACAAGTAAATTCTATTTAATTTCATAACCAAGTATCTCACCCCGACCCCGGCCAACGGCCCAGACCTCAAACAACACAAACCCCTACACTTGGGGGGATCCTGCCATGATACCTGCACTAACACAGCCTACCAAACACCACCAACCCATATTTTCAGTACCGTCAAATGTTACAACTTTACTAAGTAAACTAAATACATATATACACTAAATTGCAGTTAGTGTACACAACTCCAATAGAGCAAGATCTAAGAGAGGAAAGTGATACATAATCTAAGCCATTGTGGGAAAATTGATTCCCACATTTAAATTCAGGAGTAACAATTTACCACATCCATATTACGAAAAGAGAATTGATACATAAGATACTCTTTCAGATATACTTGGCACGAGTTTCAGCTTTCACAAACTTCAGATACAAAAAACACATTACAAGCATGAACAATCCCACACCTTTCCAATTCCTTGCAACTAGTCATTCCTAGCTGTCTTTCAATCTTAACACGAACTAAGCAGTTCTGTACCTCTGTTTGTAGTAGCATCCATGACATCAAAAGCTAAGATGATCAAATCTCCTTGCTCAAAGGATCAGTTGAATACATTTCATAAATCATCATCCCAACAAATATGCTCTCCATGTTTGCCTCAGCTTTAGTTCGAAGCGTCTGATCAGGATCCAACTTTTCCAGATTAGAAGGAAATATACATTTCCCATAAAAAAAAAAAGATGACAACTAACATAGTAGATTTTTCACATATAATCGAGTAAAAATAGAAAGCTTTGTAAATGAAAGCAGGCACACTATATTAATGAATACACATTTACCAAACATTTATGGAACATATGTACATAGATCCATGTCTAGTATAGATATCAGATCAACTACCTCCTACTATTCATTATCTGACCTCCCCAATAGATGGCATGCCTATTAATAAATGAAAAAACATTTAAATTTCTAGTGCTTCCATGTCAAAACCACGAACTGCCCGAACATCTGACCTGCCCTCCTAAGCACCATCATCTACAAGGTTGTTGACCCGTTCACATTCATCAATCCATTCACTATATCTGTAGCCACACACCAAGGTCAGAAGAATAGAGGAACAGACAATGAATCAAAATGACAAATATTAACGCAACCAAGGTTCCCATAATTCCAACTTACATGTCTATGGGTTCGGTTAAAGCTGCAAACAAAAAGAGAGCAAGGTCAGTTTACCTAGGTTATTTCAAACAATTAACATACAACTCACAACAACATAAAGTACAGATGCCCAAAGGGTTGGTTCAGAGAATATCTGAATCCAATCCAATCTAGTTGTTTGATGGATTGTAAAAGTTCTCTGATTTATGTTCTCTTATACCTCTGTCCAATTTCATCCATCCATGAAGTCCGTCATTACCCATGTCATAGCATATTAAGGGACAAAGCAAAATTTATTAACAGCTTTTGTGAGCTCGTCACGACCTTGAATTTGATCCCACATGCCTAGACTGGGAGCATATTGACACAAAATGTGACTCTTCCCCAGAGCACCAAGTTAAAATATTATGCCATAGCATCAAATGCACCAAAGAATTTGTGACCTTGATAAGTTTGTCTATCATATTTCTTCCAAAAGGACAAATAAGGAAGAAATTTTTTCCAAAAACAACTGCATTATAGTCTTCATTCATGCTTTTGATTTTTCTTTTGTTGGTGTAGGCAACCTTGATATTATTTTTGCCAATATGCGAGATTTAAATTTTTTCTCTCCATTTAATTAAATTTCATCTCAGCAAAAGCCATGACAAAATCTAGAAAAAAATTTCTCCATTACACCCAACTGTAAATTGCATTCCTAATTCTCCTTGATTTGCCAAGGAGAGAGTATTGTCAAGACATAATTTCTGTGAATGTAAATGATTCATATCTTCTTAACACAGTATTTGAAATATTCAAGTACTATGGGCATTGGCAATCCTCAACTCTCATTGTTAAAAACCAGTAAGATTTTCATTCTTCTTATTTGCTGATCAGAAATTCAGAACTATATATTCCACTTTTAAGTTTAATTTCTTTCACTACGAATTGGGAAAAAACCCTGATCCCATGATGCCCCAAATCATATTTTAATACTTCCCAAGCATTCATAAGCAGCATTTAAATAAATGAACTAGAATGCACCTGTTACAGTTGTGCTAAAGCTCTCTTGGCATATCCTGCACACAGCCTCCCCAATCAAGTTCTTCATATCACTGAAATCAGAAAAGTTTGTGTTCATTACAGAAAAACAACTTAAACCCTACATACAAGCATCTTAAATTAAATACACTTCCACTGCATCGACCCATTTGATGAAATATTACAAATGTATAGATGAAGAGCAGAAATATGAGACAGTTTGAGATTTGAGAACTTCTCAGTTGCATTTATGCTACACTAAACAGTCCACAATATACCAATGAAGCCCAAAACTCAAAAGCTAGGATAGGCTTTTATAAACTTAGCCCCTCTATGGTCTGATTGGTGCAAGCCTGCAAGGATAGATGGGGTGAAAGAAAAAGGGGAAAAATAAAAGACAAGGGGGATTTCCATGGACGAAAGGGGAAGGGGAAGGTTTTCTATCCGAACCCCGCAACTCTTTTGCTTCCAAGAACCCTTTCTTCTAAAGATTTTACACTTTCAAATTGACAGGGAAAAATCATAAAGAAAGTATTTTTTTTTATAAGGTTACGTATAATAGCAAAATCAAGCAACATCGGGGAAATGGAATTTCCTTTCCCTACTGGAGGAGGGAAAGCCCTCTCTGTTCACAATATTACACAATAGAAAGACATACCTAATCTTCCAGCACAACCATTTTTACCCCTCCTCCTTTATGGTGTGCAACTAAATAAAAAGGAGAGAAAGGTACCTTCTTTTTTAATAGAATACTTCTTCCTTGTCTCCTAATTCCACCTTCATTTGCTTCCAATTTTTCATCCATTATTAGCACACTAACCATTTACAGATGGTTGTTCATAACATTTTTTCACATCCCTGACGTTAGACAAATATAGACTATCAAAATTACTGAAAGAAGAACCTAAATATAATACCTTAAGGCATACAACTACCTACAAATTTAAGCAGGAGATGGTTATGTACCAGCAGTAAGGAACTCCATATCCCAGCTAATGCCACCCTCTCTCCTAAGTGCATTAGTTAACCATGGACAAGTGAAAATCAAATGAAACACTTACATGTGACATTCCACACTGGTCCCATGGTTACAGAAAGGACAACTGAATAGTGTGTCAAGCTTGTCCATCCTCCTCTTTGGTGGTGGCTTCGTCCTGGACTTCCTCTTACCCATTTGTAGAATTAACTCTTTTCCTTCATTGTCATCACAATTCCACCAATTAGTTCATCAATCAGATATCAAGGCATGCAAAGTTTCACACTACCAAAAGAATATGCAGATAAATAAAATCTATAACTAAATACTAAAAGCAAACAAATTAAAAAAAAACAATTTGATCTACAAAGCAGTATTATGTACTCTCTTTCTAACTATGAGCTTCCTTAGAATTTAATTGTACAAAACTAGCTCATACAAATATCAAATACTGAACATTAAACCATAGAATCTACAACAACCATCAACCTACAAAATTTCCAGTAACAGTCAAGGAAAAATTGAAACACTGCAGTTGTGTTTCCTTGACAAATTGCTACAAATAAGTCTATACTCAAACCTAAATACTGCACAGCCAGCAGCAGACCCCGGAGAAGAAACCCTAATTGTGATACCAAACAGTAAGCTAACATATAACTAACCTAAAATAGAAATCAAAACACTTTCATATGTGTATATCATGTGTTGTGTGTGTGTATTATATGTGTTGGTTTTGCACAGAAAAATTAACACAAATAATACTTGTTGGAAAATAGGAATTCAAAGATAGGAAAACATTGATTACCTAACAAACTCTCATTCATGATAACTAGGGAGTTTGGGTCAAATTCCAACAATATGCGTGTGTATAACATATATGTGTTGTGTGTGTATATCATATATATATGTGTGTGTGAGTATATGAATCATGAAAATTAAACCATGAAAAAAAGAGGATACTGCACCTTTAGTATCTGATATATAATCAACGAACAATGATGAATTCATAAAGGCAAAGAAATTACTTCGAGTAAGGACCAGGACAATGGCGTACCTGAGAATTCTCTGTTCGCAACTGGAAGGGGTTTCGCTCCAATAAAAGATAAAAGACGAAGGCAGTGTGAATAAACGGGCTGGGGGGTACGATATTTAGAATATTTATAAGCGTTTTTGGCCTTTATGGAAAGGGAAAATTATATTTTATCCCTCTAATTATGTCTTGAAACATTTGTCCCCGTTGGAAAATAAATATTATATTTTGACCCCTTTAACTATAGTTTCGATCACAATGCTTGGGTACTGGATTTCTTATATTGCTCCTCAACTAGATGAGTTGATTTCATACTTCCACAAAGCCAAACATCTAATATATTTTGGACGAAGATGTACAAACATCCCAAAAAAAATATTTGTAATTGGGGTATTTTTAAAATTAATAATCATAATTAAAGGTAAAATGTGAGAATCATGATAATTGAGTAGACAGTGTAAAAATAATATCTGTAATTGGAAATATAGTGAGAGAAAAGTAATAATCCAATGGGCAGTATGATACATAAAAAATAATTAATATGGTCAAAATGTAATTTATGTATCCAAAGTTTCTGGATTGCCTTTCCAATTTGGTTTCTAAAGTTGATACAAAGAGATGATTTTTTTTTTTTTATAAGAAACCATTGGGATTAATATTAATCTCATAAATTGTTGCTCTGCTTAACAATTTGCTACTTTATTTTCAAATCTTTATATTCATTTATTTAAAAATTGATGTAAAATATCAACAACTCTATGTATTTGATCAACAAGTCTCAATACTCGAAAAAATCGTTTGCTTATGTTGAAGATTGCCTCATTTTGATCTCTAATATTTCAATTGCGTCATTTTTGTCATTGAAGTATTAGAAATGTTTTTATATGGTCCTTCAAACAGACAGCGTCCAGATTACTAACGATTTTTATCATAAACTTGTCACGTAATCCTTAAATATGAATAAAAAATAATTTTGATAGCTTTTAATTTAGTATAAATTTGAGTCTAAGGTTAGAGTAAATTTTTTATACTTTTTTACTCAAATTTAAATTTGAATCTAAATTTGAATCAAAATTTGAATCAGACTTGGAGATACTCTAAGATGAAGTTAGAATGTTAAAACTGTAATAAATTGAATAAGGGGAACAAAAGAATGTGTCCGTTGGTTTAGAGGCAAAATGAAGATAAGTAGAAGAAATAAATTTTCAACAAGATCAATTTGTGGGTGGTCATTGATTAATACATAACAACAATAAATTGTACCACTAAGCAGTTGGTCCAGTAGGTAAAAACTTAGATTTTCCTTTAAGTTCGAGCCTCCACGGCTATAGCAACTTGATGAGACTAAACTTACTCCTTAACGTTCAAAGCAATGGTGAGACATTAGTTTTAACTTCGACATAGGTGTGGTGAGTTCTCCTACAGATAACAGTGTACTACTAAAAAATAATACTCCCAAATGAATATATCCATTTTAAGCACCGAAAAATAAAAACAATAAATTGTTTGTTGATCTGTCTCTAGGCCGACGAAGTTTCTACGTGATCTCCCCAATTGTTGTGTAAAGAATCATGCAATCTGCCCAAGGAAGCATAGCATTTTCTTTTTTATGGTAAGGACACTTAGCAACGAGATCCACCATGTCACCCAACAGTGCAATCAAAAGACTACGATATATATTATAGTCGGTAGGATGACCACCACAACAATGAGTTTGAACACAGTATATCATGGCCATGGGGCTAAAAGAGGCAAGTGGTGAACAACATTAACCCCCTTTTGAAAGGATTGATTCCCAAGCTCGAATCCACAATATATCTCTTTAATGCCGCAGATACCTACTTCCTGGTAACTGCCTCAATGTGGGCATTCCTCTCTATGGAAACAAAAAGTAAAACCACAAACAAGGTTAATATAAGTCATAGAACACACTATATGCCGTCGATGAAAACTTGAAAGTAAGTACCATAAATATATCGTATCTGCTCAGGTAGCACACAGCAAAACTGATACCAATAATGCATACAATACAGTTGCTTTTACATGAATGAGAAAATAAGAACCTTTAGTTTATGGTAGGAAAAAGTTTGGAAACAACGCAGGGCCATCTGTGACTTCAACTTGAGAGATCAGTCCTTCAAGCAGACGCCCCAATTCATGCCTCTTTCGGTGAAATAGAATTAGCACCAACAAAAAATTAGTAGCAGGATCACTAAATGGATTAATGACAAGTTGCTCACTATTTTAATCTTCCTCCTGGTAAATTTCCTTCTTCTGTTTGATCCTATGGGAATTATTTCTGTATTTTCTCCAAGCAAGATATGAAGGGGCTATTTTGAAGGCGTCAATTTAGATGTGCAGTTGTTGCTAAGATGTGTTTGCAGCATGGTTTATATTTAAACCTTCTTCCGGTTTCTTTTTCTGTTTGCGTTTCTTCTGCTTCTGCTTAAGCCTTACAAAATCTTTGATACTCCTCTCCCATTCTTTCCTGTTTTTCTGATAAAGCAGCATTGCCGCCCGGGCATCTTCTATCTGAGACAACAGAGACACTCGTAAGATGTCCTAACCACAAAGTGAACTTCAAAACGACCCCAAACATACAAAAACCAAAGAAAAAGGTACTCATTAAAAGAACAGACAGGATGAGGCAGACAAATAAAAGAGAATAAAAGGAAGCAGCAGTTGCACCACAAACAAGCCCAACATTTTACTTCTTTAAGTAATTAGAGATCATATGAGTTGCTTTTTTAGTAAAAGAGATCATGAAAGTTCCCATGGCAGACAAGCATAGGAATCAACATCATCTCCTTTTAACTTTTTTTTTGGTAAGTATCTCCTCTAACTTAATTGTTGGGAAGGACGTAAGGCACAAACGTTTGGAGACCGAATATTAATATTCTTCTTCAGCAACAGACATCTTACTCTGTCAAGGTATAGAAAATCAAAGAAAAGGAGATTTTGACGTGCTTATTTCCGAAAACGTCATATCCCTAATACATGATGCAGAGGTTATATCAAAGACTGAAAGAAGAAAACTAATAATTTACACAAAATTATAAAAATATGAACACAATTTCAAAAGGGAAGGAACTAACAGGGCAGTGCTCCCCGCTTTGAATTTTCGCACCAAGAATCTCAGCAGCTAGATGCCTAAGTGCCCTCCTGTGTCCTTCCCTGCTTAATCAACACACATGGTTACATGCCATATAAAAGCTCATATTGGACATAAATTGCAGCAAATAGTACAATTAAGCAGAGAGGGTAAAATAGTACTTTAGAAAGGGTTGATACTCTGAGGTATCTCGTATATCCTTCTTTGGATGACTTAATAGCAATGCCTGTACAGAAAAGTCAGTCAAATATTAAGATAACTACGTCAGATCACAATGTTGGGGAACTATATGCACCAACCTTAAGATCATTGCGTAAGGCATGACCAACGAGAATCTTTCCCTTGATCAATTCTGCCACTTTCTTCTGAACAATGCGGAAATCCTTTGCTGTAGATAACATCAAATGTATGTGTGAAGCACACTACAACTGCCAAGAGACTTCAAAAACATCCTTATATTTTTCAACAAATAATCACTAATAAATATTATGCAAGATGCCAATGAATTTATGATTTCTACAGCTAACATCTATCAAACCTGTCTGAGTAATAAATCACTTGGATTTGGATGAATTATTAATATTAACGTATGTATCAGCCATCATAACATATAAATATTCTTCTAACCAAGATTAATAATACTACGAATCATTGAGTCAAAAATACATCACTGTTGCAATTTACACCTGCCCAACAAATTAGTGACCAATAATCCCTTCATTTAATTCTGAAATCTCATTCATACGAAAGCCAAAAGGCACACTTCTAGTTCTGGGCATGTAAATTTTTACCTAAATTATGATAACGATCATATCCCAAGCTCATTAAGACAAAAGAATTAGCACTGTCGAGAGAGAGTGCCATACACCAAATACTGCCTTCCATGCAATAAAAGCTGTTTTTAAAAGTTGTTTACTTTAACTGCATTATCCAACTTTTTATGCATATAGCTGGTAAATGAGCATTGGTAGACTGGAGAAGGGAACTTCAAAGATTATAAACACACCTTCCATGCAATAAAAGCTGTTTTTAAAAGTTTACTTTAACAGCATTATCCAACTTTTTACTCATATACTGATGCTGTTAAATGAGCATTGGTAGGGCATCAGTAGATAACTGATATGCATAACCATGAAGAAAGGAAGGCCTAAAGAAATTCCAAAAGATTATGAAAAATCGAAATGTTAAGAAATGAATAGCAGAACTGGGATTGCTGATCTCGTGTGATAATGAATGCTAGGCAAGCATAATCATGAAGGAAGTAAAACCTACGAGAAGTTCTATGGAAGATTTATCAAAGATCACTTGTGGCATATGAAAAGCACATAAAGCTTGTAAATGCTTGTCAAATTGGAAGGTCGATTCAGAATGTCCAGAAAATCATTAGCTGTCAATGGCAGATAAATGTTATGTTACCAGAGAGCACAGGAAACAATAGTCACTTGGGGAGCAGGGAAGCTATGGGAAGAAAAGGGTCAAAAAAAAAATGCCATCCACTTTGTATGTTTGCTGAGCCGACTATCAGGCCTTTATAAAAAGGAAGGGAACTTCTCAACGAAGGAGGCGGGAAGCTAATACTTGTAAACTGCAAGCTTATCCATGACTTTTTTTTTATTGCAAATTCAAATTTGGAATAACAGAAATATTTATGTACAAAACACACACACACACATATATATACACTACAATGGCCACTGGAATAAGAGAGGTCTAAATGCCAAAAAT